AATTTTTGGAACTGAGAACTTTGAGCATGCCAAATCCCATTAATATTCGGGCACTAAATATTACAACTGCTGTAATTTTACAAAAAGAAATCAAAAACAGAAAATTACAATAGTAAACTCATTTTGAAGCCTCATACTTTCAATTTCATTCTACTGCAAGAATTAATTAATATTTTGCGTAATATACTACATTTCAAGTTATAGTGGTGACTCTTGCATTCTACAAATTAATTTTAGGCTTAATTCGTACATAATATCTTTAATCAAAAAATTCGATTTTCCAAATTATTTTTATTAGTTCGGACAATTAATGCTGTAATTCTACAGGAAAATATAAACTTTTGAGATGACTAACTACTCGATTTAAAGACTAAGGGAAAGAAACGAGAAATATCACAAAATAGCATTGAAATAATTAATATTCAATAATAATTTACTAAAATATTTAAAAATAGAAAAGTTATAGAGATAATTTCTCGTATAAGGAAAAACTTAAGAAACAAATTATTGTTGTTTTAGCTTAGAAGATGTAGAAATAAATTCAAATAGATCCAAAAAAATAAAGAAATTTTACATGATTTAGACGTAAAAAATTAACATCAGTTTAGTCATTAGTGAAGAATGCAGTAAACATAATTTTCTTAATAATATCATTTTGTAACATTTCTTGCTTTATCTCCTTATTCTTCATTTCTATTTATGTTTGTACGTTACGTGAAACAATTATTACAAGTAATGTTCCAAGAACTATTAATTAATTTTCCTTGTTATTATTGCTTAATATTGTTATAAATAATTGATTAATAATAATTACATTATGATACATATTTGTCATTAATAATGATTTTATTATTGCCAATTTTGTATCAATTAGTATTTCGTTATTATTCTATATTTTATTAAAAAAAGAGGATAAAAATTTAAGGATATTTTATTCAAAAGATAAATGTTTTGAAAGTCACTCAAGAAGTTGATATTTTGATAACATATGTGTACGAAAATCGAGGTTGGAATTGGTTCTCCTAAACTGAGCTTCTATCATAATTAAGAAAAAGCGGCATAAGATTATAAAGTGTATCAAAAATAAATATTTGTGAAATTCTATGTAAACTTTCATATTTAGTTTTTTGTAACTCTTCATTTGAGTTTAACTAAAAGAAAAGAAATAAAGCTATTATTGCTGCAATTTCTTTCAATCGACGTGTCGATAATAATTCGCCTTACCGAGCAATAATAACGCAAAGAAAGATCTGGAATTATGAAACTGATGGAAAAAGTAACTGGTTTTTGATATGCCAGCACGTTTAGTAGATTCTTTTGCATTATTAGCGTTTGTTTGTACCATATTAAGTCGTATGCACTCCGAGAAACATGCATGCTCTAATAAACATAAAAAATTAATTGTATCCAAATACATATAACTCGTTGCATAAGGGAAGAGATAATAATATGAAACAAAATATCATTTCTGAAATTATATGTATTTAATGTTCATTTGCAATTTTTTTAGAAATTTTTTTAGAAAATTTTTATAAAACTTTTTAAACGATTAAATTTTTAAACTGAAAATTAAATTTTAATAAAATTAAGGTTCATAAGACAGCAATGTTAATTATTTGTAAACATTCTCCATCCGGACAAGTAATTTCCAAATTTTCGTCAATTCAACCATCTGAAAGCTAAAGCGCGGTGTTTTATGAAATAGGAAATTTTTAGAGCCAAAATTATATTTGTATTAAATGTAAATATATATATATAAAAATGGATATAATAATTGTAGAGATTATACTGTCTTAATTATATTCTCGAAAATATGAATCTGCATAATCCAGTCTACTGATAACCAGGCTTTTTTTTTTACAAATTTTCTTTCAAAATATATGACGACAATTGAGAGATGATTCTTAATGCAAACATGAGTCAAAAAGAAAAAATAAAACTTTTTCATTTAAGATTTTGTTTTGGAGAAAATCGAGATTGAAAATTTATTGTACTATTATTAAGTATACTTAAATTTAGTCAATTTTTCAAAAGATTTTATTCACTTATTTTCATAATTTAGCCTAGTGATCTTTTCGATTTATATAACACTGGTAAATATTATAATATATATCTGTTAAATATTATAATACTATCAATGTACATATATGTATATAGATTCTATTGTATTATATGAGTATTATGAATTTTATCATTACGTACATTTGTAAAATAAAACCTACATTACTTTGAATTACGTTCTATCTTTGATTTAAAACCTGTTTTTATTGCTGTTATAAAACTTTTCTGAGTTGTGTCATTTTGTCGCAAGCTTGTTACATGTTATTAAATACCAACAACATGTAACAAGAAACTAGTTAATACGAGTATATTCAAAATTAACTACTTTCTTGAAAATAAAGAAATGATCATATTATCACTTCTTTCCCTATTAACAGTAATACACAATTTACCATATCTTTCATGTAATCGGCTGGCCACGCATATATGTAAATTTCTGTGAGTACAGTAAGAGATATAACTACGAACCGCATTTTCATTATTAGCGGTGAATCCTATACGTAAATTGTATGTATGGTCAGTTATCATTACGCTATACACAAATAAATGTCATACGTTTGTCGTACTTACCATGATCAATGTAACGCCACATAAAGTAAGAGCAATCGTACTTACTACTATAGCGCAAAGTACTACGAAACGAAAATTGTTGATTACTTCTTCTGCATATCTGGAACAAAAGACTTACTTGCAACGAACATACACTTGGACATTTGGTAAATTCAGATAAAAAGTGTAATAATGATATACAGTTTAAGAAAAAGAATTTGATATTTGAAAAGATTATTATAGTATTCATCGAGGGGAATAAAAAATACCCTACATCGTTTATTGAATAATGTCAAACGTAATGGAAAAATGTGGACTAACTAAATATTTAGGAGAAGCAGAAACTAATAATGATTACGAGGCGAATTGGAACTAAGATTAAATATTCAAAATCCAACAAAGTTCTGTGCAGATAATTAAACAAGAAACTTAAAAAGAACTCATCGAAAGAAAGCCGGGATTGTCATCCAGGTATTTCGTAATGGGATGAATATAAATTAATTTTCAGGAACATCTGTGCACTATTCTGTGCAACCTTCATTGAAAGTTATTTCAACAAATACTAAATTTTATATAAATGAATTATATGTAAATGAAATCAACATACTGAAACGATTTAGAACTACAGAAATTATTATTAAATCCTAATTATTATTATTATTAATAT